TGCCCGAGGGCCACCGCCGCCGGCCGCGCCACCGTCTTCACGCAGTTCTCGTTCCGCAGCGGCACGGTCGGGGCGTGTCTGTGCGGGCCGGGGTGCCCCGTGCGCGACGCCCCGCTTGGCGCGTTCGACGACGAGGCGGCCCGTGCCGAGGTGGCCGTGACCTTTGGGGCGGTGCGCGGGACGCGCCTGGACCCCCGTGATGCGGCGCCGTCGAAGCGGGCCCGCGTAGAGACGGAGCAGGAGACGGAGAAGGAGAAGGAGATGGACGTCGACTCACAGGGCCCCACCGAGCAGACCGAGGACGAGGTCGACAGCGCCCTCGACAAGACAGACAAGACTGAGACTGTGAAGACTGCGAACAAGACTCCGGAGACTGTGAAGATTGCGAGTGCGACTCCGAAGACCAAGACTGCGACTGTGAACAAGACTGCGGCTCCGAACAAGACTGCGGCTCCGAAGACTGTGACTCCGAAGACTGTGACTCCGAAGACTGTGACTCCGAACAAGACTGCGAGCCCGGACAAGACTGCGAGTCCGAATGCTCCGAAGACTGTGCATGCTCACAACCCGGACACGACTGAGACTGCGAACAAGACTCCGAACAAGACTGCGGCTCCGAATGCTCCTGTGGATACTCGCACGCCAGACAAGACGGCTCCGAACCGCGCGATCGAGGCCAGCCCGATCCAGAACCCGGCCACGCAGTCGACCGAGGCCAGCGAGCCGATCGAGCCGCGCCCCGGCTCGCCTCGTGTGCACCCCGAGCCGGAGAACTCGCCGGCGTGGGTGCGGGTCCAGGCCATGTTCCTGCGCTGTGCGCGCAACTCGTTTGGTGCGCCCTGTCCAGAGGGTGGTTCTCGTAATGGTTCTCCTTAATGCATCTGCTGTCTATGCAAACATGCGCTCGCGCAGGTTGACGCGCTTGGGCATGCGGCCGAGCTTGGCGCGCTGCACCTCGAGGTCGTAGCCGGCAGGCAGGGCGCCGACCTCGGGCACGTGGCCAGCGAGGGGGCACACGCGGAACAGGCGCTGGCAGTGCCAGCAGGGCTCGAGCGCGAACGTCTCGGGGTCCCAGCCCCAGATGAGCGTGTCCTCCGAGGCGGCGCAGCGGATGGTGCGGTGTCTCGCCAGCATCCTATCATTAATAACTCACTGGTACAGGAAGCAGGGGCGCGCGGGGTGCTCGCTGCAGCGCTGCTCGACGCCGTGCACCCAGCACTTCAGGCTGAGGAGGAGGTTGGGGACGGCGCCCTCGTAGAGGACGAGGCCGAGCGCGGCGGCGACGTTCGGAAAGACGAGCGGGGAGGCGTGCAGCCAGGGCTGGCGTTCGGGATCGTCGACAAAGTCGGGGTTCTGCGCGCGCCAGGCGACGCGGATGCTGTTCGTCGCGGTGTAGTCCATGGTCAGGTTGTGCGAGACGTGTCGAACGTCACGTCGTCATCAGTGGGCGTTCAGACAGCTTACGTACACGATCGGCTCCACGCGTGCATCGTTGCATCTACACTACACTGCTACACTGACGCTACACTGACACTACACTGACGCTACTCGAGCACTCATCGAGCTACGCGTCAGCACTGTCGCTCCTCGACTTACAGAGCATTGCGCATCTCGCTCATGACAGGGGGCTCCTCCATCGGCACCTGGGCCTGCAGCGCCTCGGCGTACTCGAGCAGGCGGCGGCACTGCGCTTCGAGCACCTCCAGTTCGGGATCGCGCGAGCGCGCGACGACGGCCATCGTGCGCACCTCCTCGAGCTCGTGGGGCTGCGCTGGGGGGACGGCAGCTGCGGCAAATGCGGCCTTGGCGGCGGCGTCGGCGTCGGCGATCGCCTTCTCCTCGACGAAGCGGTCGATTCCGCCGGGCGTGCCGCCGGCCATGGCGAGCCAGGTGTCGCGGTCGATGATCAGGAGGCCGACGTCGATGGTGGGCGTGGTGAACGGGCGCAGCGCGATGTCGAGGCGGGGCAGGAGGTACTCGCGCGTGCGGCGGTCGCGCTTGGTGCAGGGGACGAAGGCGGCGAGGTAGGCGGCGCCCTTCTCGATGCTGGCGGCGGCGGCGGCGCGGCGGGCGGCCCAGCGGTCGAGCTCGATGAAGAACTCGGCGGCGGAGTCCTCGGCGGCGGTGCCGCGGTCCGCGAGGGCGGCGAGGCGCCTGTCGTTGTGCGCCTGGATCTGCGCGTAGATCTGGGAGGCGTTCATGAGTGAGTGAGTGAGAGTGAGAGTGAGACCGAGAGGTGGT